CAAGAGCACGAAGAGCCGCAAGCCACCGCTCACCAACGTCCTGTACTGCCGTAATCAGCAGACGTTGGAGTCAATGACCCGGCGAGGCACCGACGGAAGGCACTCTCGTGTTGGCCGAACCTCACGCAAGCTCCAGACCTCCCGCACGCCCGGGCCAATCGGGCCTGCCCGATATAGCGAACTCTACACGACACAAATTGGTAGATCACAGAGTGGTCACAATCATGACCGCGATTGCTCGCCGCCGACAACTGGAACGCGATGAACTCCCGCAAAGCTTGCACATGCTCTGGGTCGTAGTGGCGTGGATGGCACATCATGGCTGACAAATGGCGGCCCTGCAGCCCCAAGCACAGTACCCGAGCCGCCGATGCCGTGCGCCCTCCGCGCAAGGCACTGCCACGGATACCCATGATGCTACAGATGTTGGCGAGGGCGCACGCCAATGTCTGGCTGTGACGATGTAGCATGCGTAGCTTCTCCTGCCACACGCGGAAGACGGCAACGTACAGGATCCAGCACCAATTTCCCACACACCCAGACCATGGGTGAAGATCAAAACCCACAGTGTTGTAGAGTACAGGCTCTGAAGTAACAAACATACTTGGGGATCGTTGCAATGCAAATCCCAAGGTAAACGCTTGACCTCTACAGGAACGTTCATACCAGTTACCATAGCAGCCATGTGCACACGCAAGCTCGTCCAGAATGCTTGCACACTTGTAGATCTCACGAGTGCAGCGTAGACGGCATTATCATCAGCGGCACGGCTACTCCACACCAACATTGTACATATTGCGGTAATTGTCGAACATTGTGTGACTACGTCAACACTCCGAGTCTGGATGAAACGGAAATGCAGCGACCGAAACTTGAATACGTACGCGCTTATGGGATGATCACACTTGAGGCAGGGGTACCAAGCCAGCGCGGTCCCTGGCTCCTCCAATCTCGTCTCTAACAAAAGGGTACAACAGAGACTGCACGAATCAATCATGATGCGCCTGGCTTCGATATCCCTCACGTGACGGACAGCACGCAAGGGGTCTGACTGAGAAGGGTCACGATGTTTATCTTCACTCTGCGATCCAGTGGCTACGTCTGCCCCCATCTGCGATCCACTCTTGGATCCTTTCCGATCCTTGGGCCCCCATCCCTCAGGACCCCACCTTTGAACCACCGGCAGCAGTGGAAAAGGCCTCGTGATACCCCCCGCTGGCGGACTCCGTCGACGTCGAGCGGCGGCCGGCGCGGCCTCGTGCCGGGGAGCGTGCACACGGGACGGCCGCCTCCCGTGCGGGAGCCGCGTGCGCCGCAAAACGCAAAAGGAAGCCGGAGAGCGCCGCGGCCTCGGGCGAGGCCCGCGTCCCGCCGGCGGCCTGGCGCGCGCCACTGCCTGAGCGCCCGCGGGGGCAGCCCGTCTTCAGGGGGCGACCTCACAGGCGGTGCTGAAGACTCCCTGGAGGTGCCCAGATCTCCGACGATGTGATGTTGTCAGTCCAGGCGAGTTTTTCGTCGGCTTCGGCCGCCGGGAGCCTCTCTCTCGGGCTCCGGGAACATCAGAAACAGATCCGGGGCCCCTGAGGCCGCGGATTGAAAGAGCCTCATTGGAGGATGTCAGGGTGGCGTGCCTGCCGGTGGTCATCTGCTCCGACTGCCAGGCTGTGGTCGACGGCGGTTCTTGGCGGCGTGCACAAACAGGTGGGAGAGGGGGAGGGCTTCTTAAAGGAGGCTGCTCCTTAGAAGGCGCCGACCTTTCGTCTATTGATAAGGCCCGCGCCTTCTGAGAAGCAGGGGTGCTTCTTCCCCCCTCCCCACACCCACCTCTGCGCGTGGTTGAGGTTCTCTGAAAGGCCCCAGGCAGACCTGTGGGCGCGCTGCTGAGCATGGGTCGCCGAAAAAGCAGAGCAACCAAGCAGGAAGGAACCTCAACAGGAAAGCGCAAAGCCTTTGCTTTCGTCTTCAGAAGAGCGCCAACGGAGACGTGAGACCGGCGAGAACATTAGTGGGTAGCGTGCTTGCCAAAAAGATCCAGGGCAGTGTGCGCTTCTTTTCAGGAAATGAAGGCCCACGCCAGCTAGGTCCAACGAAACGAGGTTGGGCTTGAGCGGCGGGAGGGCAGTAGGCTAGCCGACAGATTTGCAAAAAAGGGGGCTCAACAGTACCCGCACCTCCCCTGGCAGAGGCAGGCTCAGATTCAGATGCATGAGTGAGTTTCGGATGTGTCAGAATTTGCCAGGCACGTTGGAATTCTAGGCAGGGCGGTCGTCGACACTTCCGAGAGCTCGAGTCCGCAGCAGGACTCGAGCCATCCCCACGCAACCTGGGCCGTCGCCGGGAGGGAGAGACGAGGCGGCCACGTAGCTCCCCCCCCCCCGCGCCTCCAGCAACCCTCCCCTCACTGCAGGGCGGTGGACAAGAACGGAGGGAGGATCGACCGAGCCCGCGAACAAGGGCATCTGCCGTGCAGTTGTCGTACTACCAAAGGATTGTGGATGCCATGACAATGGACACTCTAACGATCCTATCATTGAATTAAAAATTTGTTTGAAATGTGTAAAGCATATTTTACGAACGTTTCAAACAGGCTTTGACATATTTACAACATGTTTGAAACATTTTCCGACATCTGGAAATTATTTGGCAACATGCTTCCTCTCCAGTAATCGACTTCCACAACCAAAGGGGTCACTGGAGAAGGAACGAACGGGTCTTCTGGCCACGGCGACCCTCGGCATCGAGCAGGCTCCCCGCCCTGAAGCCAAAGAGCGGCCCGAAGGCCAGAGCCTCTCCTGAGACCGAATTGGCCTCCTGGCCATCGCTCGGACGTCCATTCCCTGTGTTTGTTTAGTTTTCGCGCGTGGTTTTTCGCCAAATGATCAAGGATGCTCCTCGATGGTCCTCGCCGAAGGAAAAATGCACACGTCCGAGCGATGCCGAGCCTCTATCTCAGCGTCTTGACTGTTTTTCTGGGGCCGATGGCCATGAAGAGTTGACAACCGATGAGAGGCACAGAATCTCAACGCGCACATCGTTAACATCGGCCGATCTCGCGCACGAGCGAGTAAGTGCGGCACAGCCGGGTGAAGCGTTTCAGCCGTTGTCCTGGGATGACACCCTCGAGTGGCAATGGCTGGCCGTCTGCGGCCTCTGTCGGAAGGCCTGCACTCCAACCACAATAACGCCCTCTTAGTTTCGTCGCCAATTCGAATCGCCTGGGGCCAGCCTGGGGGGGGAGTGCAGAGCCCTGATCGGTTCGCTGGGTACTGCCTCGACGGAATGTGGAAGTGCTCCTGAGTATTTCTCTTCCTCCCCCTCCCCCACCCCCTGCTCGCGCTTACCCATTTGCTCACGGGTAGTGCTGCCAAAGGCCCCAGCCCACGCAACCCCTCCCCCCTAGGAACGACCGCTGTTCGGGCCTGGGCCCAGCTCCCAGGGGGATCGGTGCCGTGCAAGTGGGGTTTGCGCTGGTTCCCAGCCAAGCTTCGCGTGGCCGGACCCCCCTCCCCCCGCCCTTCCCCTGCTCCTCCGCCTCGTCCTGCTCAGTCTCCTCCTCCTCCTCCTCCTCCTCCTCCTCCTCCTTCTTTTCCTCCTCCTCCTCCCTCTCCTCCTCCTCCTCCTCCTCCTCCCTCCTCCTCCTCCTCCTCCTCCTCTCCTCCTCCTCCTCATCATCATCATCATCATCATCATCATCATCTCATCATCATCATTCATCATCATCATCATCATCTGTCCTCCTCCTCCTCTCTCCTCCTCCTCCCTCCTCCTCCTCCCCTCCTCCTCCTCCTCCTCCTCCTCCTCCTCCTCCTCCTCCTCCTCCTCCTCACCCTCTTCACCCTCGCCCTTCAGAGAACGGCCACGGCGGGGATGTGGCCTGGCCGCCCGCGAAGACGCAGAAGGGCGCCATCCCGGGCCTGTGCCTCTCGGGGGTGCCGAGGTAGTTGTGGACGTACGGCATGCCTCGGCCAGTGCGGCCGTGCCGTGCGGGGCCGCCCGCCTGCCCCCGCGCCGCCCAGAAACGACGCCCGCCTCGGCCGTCCGATGGCCACAACAACCACGCCGAGCATGACGCCGACGCCGACGCCGACGACGACAACGACGACAACGACGACGGTGGAGACGACGGCGACGAAGATGACGATACAGACGACGACGACGACGGTGAAGACGACGACGACGACGACGACGACGACGACGACGACGACGACGACGACGACGACGGCTACGATGACGACGTCGACGACGACGACGAAGACAACGGTGACGACGATGACGAAGACGACGACGACTCCGACGACGACGGCGGCGGCGGCTGCTGCGGCGGCTGTGACGGCAAGGGCGAGGGCGAAGATGATGACGAGGACGTCGCCGAGGATGACGACGAGGACGACGACGACGACAGCGAGGAAAAACGACGCGCCGCCAAAAACGACGCCCGCGCAAAAACGCGCGTGGCCGCCCGACCGCCGATGGCCACCGCCGCGGCCGCCGCCGCGCTGCCGCCGCCGCCCGCCGCCGCGGCCGAGGATGGAGCCGCCGTGGATCCAGAGAAGGGTACCGATACCGCCGCGGATGGCCGCCGCCGCCGCCTCGGGTGGCCGCTCGCACGACCGCCTGGCTGGATGTCGCCGGTTGCCGCTCCCCCCCCTGCTGCAGGCCTACCTCGCCGGGGCGAAGAGCCGCCTCGAGCAGCGTTCGCCGACGGCGCAGCTCGTGCGGGCCACCAGCGGGCCGCAGGCCGCGGGCCGCACGTCACGCTGGGGATATCCAGGGAGGCTGGAAGGTCCCAACACCGCAGCACAGACGGGAGAAGCGATCGCCACCGCCGTGCGTAGAGCCACCTCCGGGGGCGCAGCGGGGCCCTCTCGGAGCCTCTGTCGGGCCGCCTCGAGGCCTCGGCGGGGACCACCCGCGAGGCCTCCAGAGGCCGCCTCGGGCAGTGTGGCGGGGCGAGGCCGAGAGGGGCGGTCTGCTGCGGGGCGCGTCGCCTTCGAGCTCGGTCACCTGACTGCCCACGCACGCACGCCCGTAGACGTGAACCGTGGCGCCGATCGCGCGGATCTGCTCGTCGAGTCCTCTGGGCAAGCGGGTCCCCTGCCCTGATCGTCCTCCCTACTCTCGACGGTGGCTGAAGGTGACCCTGGCCCAGGTTGTCCCCAGCGTTTCCCTCCCCTCTTTAGCCCCCGGGGCCCTCTGGTCCTCGCGGGGGGGTCTCTGGAGGCCGCGGGGGCATACTTGGGGACACCTTGGGCCAGGGACACCTCTGGCAACAACCGATGCTCGTCCGCCCTCCCTCTCCCCGAAGTCCTTCTCCTCCGTCCTCCTCTCCTTTCCTCTCCCTCTGACAGCTCCTGCAGCCAAAGATGTGATCAAGAAAACTGTCAGTTAAGACATCTGGGCGACCTTCCCAGAAGCCTGGGCCATAGTGTATTGTCAAAGCTGGAGAGGGCGAACGTGCTCAAGAAACTGGGCCAGATTTCCGGCAAGTTGATGCAGACACGCTGGAGCTGTTCAGGAGTGGGTTTCCCAATCAGATGCTCAACAATAAGCCCGCCCGAAATCCCTCCTGCGATGGACTCCCATTCCGCTCACTTTCGCCGCGGTCGCCACCCCCCTCCCCCCAAAGCGGGACGCTCCACTGTACCAATCAAGCAGCTGAACAAAGTGGGCATCTCCTCTTTCAATATGGACAGTGTGTCGCCGACGATATATAATGCGTGGCCGCAGATTTTGTCAGAGATTGCGCTCCCACTTCGGCGCTGCGCAGGGCTTTCGCTCGC